GGGGGACCACCACCCCAGTCTGCCAATCCAGGGGTACTGCCCCCGATGTCCATGCGATATTGCAGAGTCGCGTAAGCCAACACAACCCTACAACATATGATAAAGCTGCAGTAATCCTAAATTATTCAGCATTTCTCTATTGTACATAAAGTAAATGTACATTTTATTAAGGTAACAAAAAATCCTTGACATGACTGCTCCCTCCTGCAGGACTCATCACAACCCATGGAACTCCAGTGGAAAATCTGGCAAGTGTTTTGTGCTGAATACCCTTCCTGATGCAACGTGGGCTTCAGCCTATCATGCTTGGATTTTCAGTTGAACCCTAAGGAGTACTTGAATAAAACAAAAGAAACTGTCTGTCAAGGCAGCAAAAGACAACTTAGAGGTTGGTAAAAGAAACAGACACAGGGAAGCAAACATGAGGTGGTCATGGAAGACGCAACACAGACCACACAACACACCGACAAGCCACACAGGACTGCAGAGTTGTAAAGTAACTAAGTACAAATACTTATTGTTAAAAAATACTATCCTACAAAATGTGCATCCAGGATAGAGTTAATTTAAGTTTAGTTGGATGAGAACTATATTCTGATACTGTATTAATTTTTACACAATCCATTACAGCTGCATGTTTTTAGAAAAAAATATCTTTTTTTGGAGAGGTCACTTGTGGTGTCACTTAAAGAGAGCTGTCCATGCTCAGAAACCATCAAAGCTGAATGAACTAGAGATGTTTTGTAAAGAAGAATGGTCTAAAATACCTTCAGCCACAATCCAGACTCTCATTAGAAGCTGTAGGAAGCATTTAGAGAATATTTCTGTGAAAGGAGGAGCTACTAAATATTGAGTTAAGGTTTTTTTTTGGTGCCCAAATTTATGCACCTGCCTAATTTTGTTTAACCAATTATTGTACACTTTCTGTAAATCATTTCAACTTCATTTCACTTCTCAAATAATACTGTTTGTCCCCTATATGATATATTTGACTGAAATTTTTTATCCAAACAATCAATGAGTTGAAAATTTATAACTCGGACGTGCAAAACAACGACTTCTGAGACGCACAGTAAAAATACAGGTTTCGAATATATTTATCACTCTCTGACAGTTGTTTTTGCTTGTGTGTGTTTGTTCCTTTGACTGACTGAAAAGGTTTTAATGAAACTCAGTGGCGGCTGGTGAATTTTTCTCCAGTTGGGGCTACAACTCCAAAATAAACACATCTCAAAAAGCAGTCACACATATACGTAGCAACAAATTGCTGCACCATTAAGGTAAATTA